GCTATCGCACAAGCTAAGGAGCCTAGATCTCACCAACGATCCAAACACATACTTAGGCGTTATCACCTCATTCGAGAGATAATCGATCGGGGAGATGTGAAGATATGCAGAGTACCTACACTTGACAATATCGCTGACCCATTAACAAAGCCTCTTGCGCAACAGAAGCATGATGGCCATACTAGATCTATGGGTATTAAGGGTATGCCTAATTGGCTCTAGTGCTAGTGGGAGATTGTTAGTGTAAGCCCTAGAGGCCAATACTTTTTGGTACTTGTATCGGATTATTCGTTTAATAATAAAAGGCATTTCTTTATTATGTTTGTCTTTCAGAATAATAAAGTCCCTAGAATAGTTAGTCTGTTTAATGAAATGTTAAGTGTGACTTAATCATGAGATCCCATTAAACATAAAGACATTATTCTTAAAATATCCGTAGTCAAGCTTTATTGCAAAGTGGGATGACATTAAAGGCATTGAGACTATTATGAAGATAGACTGATGATCACATCTCATGGATCATGGATAAAGAGTTATCAAGTCTTGACATAGGTATAAATATTAGGAGTAATATTTATACCGGATTGACCCGCTATGAGAATACTACATAGTATGTTATGCAAAGTGTCATAAGTTATTCTCATGGTGATAATGGTGTATTACCACCCTTCGACCTGAAACCACTATGGACCCTAGATGTAGAGTCGGGTGCTTTATTGCTAATCAAACATTATCCGTAACTGGATGATCATAAAGACAGTTGATGGGCACTCCACGAAGCATGCTGAGGGACATGAGTGTCCTAGATGGAATTTGCCAATCCTGCATAACAGGAGAAATGTCTAAGGGCCCAATATTGAACTGGACAAGGATGACACAGTGTATGCCTTGTGTTCAATATAGACATAGGGGCAAAAGGGTAATTGTACAAACATATATTATCACGAAAAAGGTTTTGTCAGATCACATGACATTTTCGTGACTTGGGTAGCAGTGATGTGTTGCTAGATACCGCTTACTGTTTATTATGTTAAATATATAATTTAATATAATTACCAACGTTACGAAATCCTACAGGGTCACACACATAAAGACAGTTTGATGAGAGATAGAGAAATCAAAGGAACACCGTAAGGTACGGTGCACTTAAGTGAAAAATAGAAATTCGGATAATATAATAATAATTATTGTTATTTTATAATGGTTATAAAATAATAATAAAATAAATATATTTATTATAATAATAGTTATTATAATAATATATAATATTATTATGGATCATGTGAATTGGGTTTTTAGCCCGCAGCCCACAAGAGAGTCTATAAAAGGAACCCTTGTGATGAAGCTTTCACTTGATGCAATTTCGTTTTTGATTCTCTTTTCTCACTCAAATAATTCCGTTCGTAAGCAGCTAGCACTGTGACCGGAAGCTGTTCGTGTGGACTGAGTAGAGGCGTTGCACTTCATCAACGCTTGTGATCGCTGCATCAAAGATCTGAATCGCCACAAAGAGGTAACGATTTTATCACTGACCATGCTCATTCGTAAGGATCACTAAAGGAAATTTTTGTTTTCCGCTGCGTTTAGATCGCAATTTTCCATCAAGTGGTCCCATTATCAAGTTGCTGTCAGGATTCTGAGGTATATCAAAGAAACTCTGAAGTGTGGAGTGTTATTTCCCTCTGGAGGAAATAATGAGTCAGAACTTCTGAGTTATTCAGACTCTGATTGGTGTGGAGACAGAGTTGATAGAAGAAGTAAATCTGGGTACTTGTTCAAATTTCTGGGAGGTTCCATTTCTTGGTGTTCCAAGAAGCAACCTGTTGTGGCGTTGTCAACCTGTGAAGCTGAATACATTGCAGGTGCTGTTACTGCATGCCAAGCTGTGTGGATTCTGAATCTGTTGCAGGATCTGAAGATTAAAGTAGACAAACCTCTGAAGTTGATGATTGACAACAAGTCTGCAATCAATCTTGCCAGAAACCCAGTGTTGCATGGGAGAAGCAAGCATATTGAGACCAAGTATCATTTTCTGAGACATCAAGTTCAGAGTGGAGTGTTAGAAGTTGTACACTGCAGCACTCAGAAGCAGTTGGCAGATGTTCTGACGAAAGCTATCAAGACTGATCAATTTCTCAGACTAAGGGATGGAATTGGTGTTACAAGTTTTGATGGAATATGAATTAAGGGATGGTATTAGAATATTAATAGTAATTCATATTCATTTAGTTGTACTATTTTCTTAGCCCCTAAGTTTGTTAAAGGGTATTTTAGTATTTTATCTTATTCTAGTAACCCTAGTTTTAGCTTATAAGTAGGGTGACAATCATTGTAACTTTAATCATGTTTTTTGTAGCCGTCATTCTTAATAGAATATTTCCTTTGTTCATCATTTATTCACCTTTGCACCAACAATAACCAGATTTCAAATCCAGTTTGGAAAAGATGACTACTCCACCCAATTCTTCTAATAATTCCTCAATGATGGGAATGGGGAATTTATTAGGTATGGTCACCTTGTTTAGAGCTCTGTAATCTGTGCAAAATCTCCACCCTCCATCTTTTTTCTTTACTAACAGCACCGAGCTTGAAAAAGGACTGGTATTGTGCCTTATGATACCAGCCTGGAGCATTTCTCCTACAATTTTTTCTATTTCATTTTTTTGATAGAAAGGGTACCTATAAGGCCTCAAGTTTGGAATGGCAGCATTAGGTTTAAGCAAAATAGCATGATCATGTTCTCTCCTGGGTGGTAGACCTTTAGGTAAATGAAACACTTCCTCAAATTTCCCCAAAGTCTCATCCCACTCTGTTAACTCAGCATACCTTTATGCTGCAACCATTTGCACAGTTTGCACATAGAATCTCATCCCCTCATCCTTCAAAGCTCTCATCATTCCTTTCATAGAAACTTGTTGATTGCTTAATGTAGGATCTCCTTGAATACTATACTTCTGTCCACCCCACTCCCACATAAGGCATAATTTTCCAAAGTTAGCCTCTATATTGCCCAAACTAGCTAACCAGTCCATTCCTAGCACCATATCAGTCCCTCCTAACTCCATCAAAAAGAAATTCTGGCTGAATTCCACTCCTTGCAACCAGAACTTCAATTTTTCACACACCCCCTGATATTTCATCTTCTCTCCGTTCCCCACCTCAATTACATATGGTGGTGTTTCCATCAACTGTAATCCCATCATCTCCACTAGCCTAGCATCAATGAAATTGCTAGTTGCCCCGGAATCAATTAGTGTCAACAGTTCCCTTTCTTTGACTGTAGCCCAGACCTTGAACGATTTATTAGAAGTTAGTCCCTCTTGACTCTGCAGGGAGAGTTGCAAAGTCTTGCATTCCTCCACTTCGTCCACCCAGTCTTCTGTTTGCACCCCTTTTCCTCCTCTTTCCTCTTCCTCCTCACTGCTATTCTCACATAATTTAAAACTCATATGCTTAAATTTGCATATGTGTTCCCTATTCCATTTATCCCCACATTTGAAACAAAGCCCTCTCTTACTCCTTTCTTCTAATTCTGCAGGATTTAGTCTCCTCCCTCTGAACTTCTCACTACCTCCTCCATTACCTTTCTCTCCCTCCTTCCTAGATCCTCCTATATCTGCAGGGTCCCTGATCTTAAAAGACCCTCCTCTATCTTTCCATGAACTACTCTTCTTGTGGACCACCTCATTTTTTTCTTCAATTAACTGGGCCCTATCCATCAAATCTGCTAAACTTTGACTCTCATGGAGTTTTAGTTCGGCTTGAATCTCCTCTTTTAGTCCATTCATGAAAATGGAGTCCAACATAATCCTTTCTTCCCTTCTCAACGGAGCTACAAGCATTTCGAATTTCTCCATATACTCCACCACCGAGCCTTTTTGCCTTAAACTCAACAAAGGCCCCATTGGGTTATGCAGTAGACCCGGTTGAAACCTCTTCATCACAGCTACCTTAAACTCCTCCCACGTCCTCAGTGGGGCTTGCTCCTCCCACCACTGGTACCAATTCAAAGCCTTGTCTTCCATAGCTAACACTACCGCATCTAGTTTGTCGCGCATCCTTACACCATTCAAACGGAAGTACCTCTCGACCCGCACGAGCCAACCATACGCATCCTCTCCCTTGAAAATGGGAATTTCCAGCTTCCTTCTGCTTCCCATGGTTCGCTCTCGTTCTCCACCCCAGTGATGGCGATTTCTGGGTCGAGATTCGTGCGAACGGTTGCTTCTTATGCTCCCATCATCTTCGTCATCATCGGATCCTCTGTGATGACCCGGATGCTCCTGAATGAGCTGGCGAATCTGCTCCACCGTCACTTGCGGTCTAGACTGTTGCTCCGTTACGATCTGGCGTATCTGTTTGATCGTCCCTTCGAACTGATTCATCCTCTGTTCCATCGTTTCCACGCGATTCTCCATGATACCACGCATAACAACCATCCACCGAGTAAACAAAACCAAGGCTCTAGATACCAAATTGATAGAATCAATTCAGTATCTAAAAGGGAGATTCAGAAACAATACAAGAAAACTGATAAAATTACTGATTTGATTAAAGAAATAGGCTAGAGTTCAAATGGGATCTAGCAAAATCAGTACAAGGAAATTGCAGAATGCAGTAAAAAAGAAATTGCAGAATGCAGTAAAAAAAGAAAGATGATAGAGGCACTTTGAGAGGCCTTTTCTCTCCTAGGGTTCAGATTCAATGGAATATTTTCATACCTCACAAATGATTGGGACCCAATCATTTATGGAATTATTCCTAGGTTCTATTACCATACAGCTGCTGCCAGCTGTCTCAACCCATGTGCTACTGCTAACAGAATTTGTCCTATTTTCTCTCTTTCTCTTTCTTACGTTTCCTCACATATTGCCTCCCATATCTACCAATAGGTTATAACCCTTCAAACAGCAAAACATAATTCACATTTCACAACAAATACAAAATTATGCCTTTTTGTTTATGCTACTAGTAAATATCTTCATGAAAGAAAGTGATACCTGTGAACTTGATTCTATTGAAAGTAGATTATGTAAATGATTGACGCTGCCTCCCTAAATGAAATAACCATATGAAGTATCAACTTTATCGGCTTGAGTGTTACATATAATGTTTACCTCACGTTTTTGAGTTACATAAAGCTATAAAATGAATTTCAATTTACATAAAAAAGTGATTAATATACCTGGAAAACCTTACGGGCACGGTCCTTAACTTTTGTCAACAACCCTGCTGAGATGTTACCCACCTTTACCAAGACAAAATAGAAGACATATTTCAAAACAAGATCACCAAAGAAATAAATACAATGATTTTGTATGTTATTGGACTGACCTGAGGCATAGGAGAACCATTATCTGTATTAAGTAACTTTCCACTCTCAGGCTCAACCTCAAACAGGATAGCATCATTTCCCTCAAGAAAAAAGCTTGGTTTTGCACTGCATGAATGGTTGACTTCATCAGGTTAGCAAAGAAACCCTTAACTAAATTTACTGCAATCCATAAGGTCCCAATGAATTAACTTTTGAACACAAGAGCACAGCAAAATTGTAACAAAAATTTGTTTCAATGTTTCTAATGAATTAGCACATACATAAACTATATGCAACATAATAAAAATACAATATAAACATATTTTGTGATGAATAACACAAGGGTGCAACTAAATGATTACAAAGTTACTTGTAGTCGTGGTAGCATTTGAGCATGATTTGTTGGAGCCTAATTTAGTAACACTGAATGAAAATTTATTTTAAGCAGAGTGTCCAAAACAAAAAATAAGCTAGCTGCAGATGCTCGGAGAAGAAGATATAACCTGCCAGTGATGACAACATCAAAGTATTGAAGCCAGTCTAAGCCTGTACTGCTATTTACCACACTGGATCCACAGAGGAAATTCATCACAACACTTGTATAGTCCCATAAACTGTAAAATGAGATGAATCTTTAGAGTGATAATTAATTGTGTAGAGACAGAAACCATAGTACAAGTGTATTTTACTCAATGGTAAAAAAACTTCTCAATGGTAATATTTTTTTTTACCGTGAACTAACTTCCACAAAAGCTTAAACTATTTGGTGAAGACACGGATGCCTTGTAACTTTACTCTCTACTTTTAGACTTAAAACATGCAATGCTTATTGCTGCAATTTTATCTTAAAATTAGAAGGCACAGAGGCTTAGAATGTCAAGAATCAACTGTTCCAAGAACTTGTCAATAAAGGCACATGAATGATTTTATCCAATATATGATTTAAGAAAAAGGATAGACTACATAACTAACAACTTTTCATCCTGTTCTTATTTAGAGAATTCATCAATACCTGTTTGTCACTAAAAATGTAGCTCTTCCAGAATCTCTAAGCATTTTAAGCATGGGAACTATTGAAGAGTCTTCATTGATATACCTAATATTTCAAATTTAAAAACAAAAACAACCAAGTCAGATAATTCCATCATGAATCCCTAGATATACCAAATTTTAATAGGGGATCAGATAAGGATATATATATAAGTCAATGTATTTAAATATTTCAAGTCAATTCTTCCGTTCCCTCCAATATCTGAAAGGAGCCAAAATTGAGTGAAGAGTGGTGATTTTACACTCTTCCCCTCCTCTCTAAATAAATAAACCAAACAATAAATACTTAAAATAATTCCCCCACTCCAAACCCCAAAACCAAACATTATGTAACCAATACCTTCCGGGATCTGTTGCAACCTTTTGCTTCAATGTTCCATCTCGGTGGCACAAATCTACTGCATTACGAACATCTTTGTAGAGACAAGCATAACTGGAAGGGCAACTCATGAAGAAAAAAAAAATGCAGTTCATTTATGTTTTACATCGTTTATGATTGCCCAACATATGAATACTCGTGATATACTAACAGTGATCCAAATATGTTCACAAATAAAGACACTCGACTCTTCTTGGAAGGTAATATATTATTATGAATGATAAAACTAAAAAAAATATTTATGAGAAGCCGACCAGGTTTCAAAGGAACAAAATTAACAGATACTTTGGTCCTGGTATGCAAATGATCTTGAATACCGTAGGTGTATAAACATGCTTATAGAAGACCCATACAAGCAATAATTAAACTTACTCAACAGACATTGGAAACTTTCCAGGATTTCTGTCCTTAAAATCAACCAGTTGTGCAAACAAGTAGGCTTCCGCAAGAGAAAAGAGTGTATCAATTAGAGCATAGTCTGGCCCATCAAAAGGATCACATACTAAAGTATTTCCGTAGGTCCCAACTTTATCTTCTTTTGATAACTCTTTAAATCCATGATAAGCTACTTTCACGTATTTGTGGCAATCCATCTAAATATACGAAGTGGTAAAACAATCAATACAAAAACAAAAAGATACTAGAGAAGAATCCATGCAATTTCATTATGTATTTATTTCCCTGGTAAAAATGAATGGGTATAAAACATTTGCTTGATCCTAACCTTCAAGATGTTGCCTCTCTTTTTGTCAAGAACCAAACCTCTAACCATGTAATTTGGATCAAATGACCAACTCAGTAACTGCAGAAAACACATTACTTCTTTTAGCCAAAGTACTATACAATCTGCTATTCATATTCATAAACTAAACAAATAAAACGGTAATAAATTAAACCCTTTAAATAGTACTTAGAGAAAGAAGACAACTTGAATTATTGATTAGGATTATTTTATCTTTTAAAATTCATCTTAATTAGGATTTGCTGAATAGGATTAGGCTATCTATTTTAATTTAGAGTTATTTTATCATGTTTCCTTATCTTAATCGGATTAGGATAGAAGAATTTATAAGTTTTGACATTTATCATTTGAGGATTGATTATATTCCTTAGGATATGCTAGTTGTTATCCTAATACAATTAGCATTCTTTCAGATGTAGCAGCCTATTTAAAAGGCAATATGGTTTGGAATGAAGTTGTCAAATAATAACTATCAGAAAAACTTGAGTTTTAGGAGGGGCTCTGTCAAGGATGAGTCTACTTCTTTCTTTCACCTTAGGTTTGAAGATAGATGTTATGATGGATGAATGGTTACACAAGATAAGATAGGATTAAAATTTAAGGAGTGGAGGAAGTTGAGCCATAGTTGCAGAAAAGATAAGAATGATTCCATGGATGAGTGGTCACACAAGAAAATATAGGATTAAAAATAAAAGTATCAGAGAAAGTTGAAGGAGTGTACATTGGAGAAAAGATAGTACAGGATTGTCTTAGGCAATTGAACATGTATGGAGAAGACCCGTATAAGGGATGCTATGGAAGATAGTTTAACAATTAGGAACAACGGGAAACCGACAAAAACTATAGGTTAAATCATTAAGATAGATTTAAATGGTTTGTCCTTGGAAGTGATTTAATGTTTCATTAATGTAACCAGCCCCAAATAGTGGAAAATGCCTTGGTTGTTGTATAGTTAAAGAATACTCCTCTTGACTCAAATCATGGCCTAATTTTTGCTTATATTTGAGTGTGGAGGGAGTATTATATTTCAACGAGTTGATGGATATAATTACAAAGTGATTCGAAAAGATTTGAGTAAATAAACAAAATAAAAATACAAACCATTTTAAATTACCATTGGCACAAGAAAAAGAATAATATAAAAAGTAAACATAGTAAAATCAGAGTAAGATCAACTAGACAAACCTCACTAGGGTATTTCAAATCATAAACCAGCCTTTCAATAGTACGGTGATAAGCAAGGGATTCAAAAGTTTCAGGCATGTATTGTGCCAAAGTATAATCCATGTCAAATCCCACAGCAACAATGTTCTTCATATTCAATGGCCGATTACAGAAGATCCGCTTTCCTATATCAGTTTTAGGCCCATGATCAGAGAATGAGAGCCATTCCCGCAGCTGTTCGACACTGTCGCCTCCAGAATTTTCATTGCACGTATCAATGCGGAACTCATCCCTTGAAAGTTGAGCATGCAACCGACTATCTCCTGATAAATTTTAGAATTATATTCCACTAATAATTAGGAATCACTTTAGTACATACAACGGTAGACCACGTTAATGAAAGCAAATTTTTAGAATATAAACAATAACTATAGATTAAGTTCCTTAATTTTCTACAAAAGCTTCTGCACAAAAGGCTGGACAGTATATTTGTCCTAAATCTATATAGAAATATGCATACATGACACACGTAACCCCCATTATTTATACTACATTCAGACCGAGAAGTGATGAATTTGTGGTTCTCAATTGTTATAAAACCACAACGTGTAAAACTACAGCCATTATATAAGAAGCACAAAGTCTTAGCTCTATCACAGACATGATAAAAGAGGCACAAGGTCTCAGCTCCATCTAGTGAGCTTACAGAAAACACAACATACAGTCGAACACTCTTAATTAATCGCGGAAGCACTATTGCATTTTCTCGCGTTAACAGAAGACATATATTTGATCTAACATAAGAATAAGAAGAAAAAATAACAGAAAAAATTAATAACAATAAAGGAAAAAATATCAACAACAATATAACTGCTTTCTAGAGCAATCCGTGAAAGACATTAGGTCTATTTGAATTGACTTATTTGAATTTATGTACTTGCATAAGCATTTGTTAAATTACCTGGAAGAGCTTATAGAATCAGCTTAAGAAATGTTCATAAGTTGTTAATATAAGTTGTTTTTAACTAATTTTCATAAGCTCGGCAGGATAGCTTATGTGAAAATTGTTTGACTTAAATTTATCTTTAGTTATAGAAACAAATTATACATAAGCACTTATGTGATAAGTGCTTATACTATAAAATCTTAATTAATTAAGTTGTTTATTCAAAAAGAGTCTATAAGGCAAGAACACTTGCACATCGCAAAAGACTATGTTCAGAATCACACAAGCTATATTCCAAAAAACACATGAAAACTCAAATTCTCAATCGAATTAATCTCCTAACAAATTCATTACTCTGTACTACATTAGAACGAATGAAGCGTGAAAAAATCAAATGACTCATTCAGTTGCTTACACGATGAAAACAAGTAGGAATAGAAGAGAGGGAAAACCGAACCAGCGGAGGAGGCGGAGGAGTGAGGGCGGTGCGGGAAGGGAAGAACGCGCGGAGTGTGAGCATGGGAGAAGATTCTAGAAGGAGAGAAACGGTTATGGTGAGAGATTGAAACGCAATGAGAGGTTGAGATTGGGATGCTACTAGATGGAGGCATTGTTGGAGTTGAAGTGAGTTGAAAATGCAAATGCAAATGAAATTGAAATTGCACTTTACGTTAAAAATGTTAGTAATGCCTTTTTGGTTAATTTGAAGCTAGTTTTGGTGCTGGGGTGATTATAGGGTTGTTTGGGATTGGAGAGTGCAATGCTTCGAATGGGAGTGTTGGTGGGAAAATGAAATGAAAAGGAAAAATAGTGAGAGCTAGCTAGTGAAGGAGGGTAGTGCCACGTGGAAGAGTACTGGGGACCCTTACTGACGCGCTTTTTGTGAGCGTGGACTTAACTTTAACTTTGTCAATCTAGCTTCTCTTATGGGTCAAAATAACTCATTTAATTCATCAATTTAAATTGATTTAAAAAGTATATAAATAAAGACAGAATGATATTTTTGTTAATTAATTTTATCATAGTATGTATTAATGTTTGTCATAATGTAAAATAAAAATATTAATTTTAAAGTAATATAAATAATATTTTCTCTGTTATTTATCATACAAAGTTTGTTCTATTTAGTGAAATAAGCTATATTATATTATAATATTCTATTCTGTTAAATCTTAAGATTTTTTTAGTAGTTTATAGTTTTTTTTAGGTTTTTTTCATTTATCTCTATCTATTTGATTTTTTTTCCATCTAACTTACTCTCTTTAAAATAAAATTTATAAATATTTTCTTTGCATCTCCAAATAACCTAAGTTTATTTTTATTTATCTTTTTCTCCAATAGGTATTAATCCAACACATTTGGTAATATTTTGTTATCACACATCTATGATAACATCTTCAATCTCTACTCCACTTACTTAATCTCATGCATTGTGTCTTGTACAAGTTCGTAAATTTTATTGTTGTTTGATAAAATTTTCTCTCCAATTTTAATTGTACTTTTGTATCACATAAAATCTCTAATGATTGTTCTTCATTTCAATCATCAAATTTGAATTAAATTACTTAGACCTTCTTCTATTTATCCATCATTTTGTATTACAGATTCAAGATATTTAAATTGTGTGACTTGTGGCATAATACAGTCTCTAACTTTTACCTATAGGATATAAAAGCTTTTCATTTTGGTGAACTTACATTCCATATACTATGTTTTAGAGTTGGACAACATTTTTTAAAACAACCCAAATTGTCCAACCATCGGACTCGTACATTTTCGGTTCGATGGGCTAGTTTTTGGGGTTACCAAGTTAATGATCTATAGTTTTATATGGGTTTAGGTGGGTCGGATCACATGGTTGGACTGGTGGAACTTGTCCCAAAATAAAACGACCAAAACACATATCCTTCTTCGTTTGTTTGTTATTCTCACATTTGTAGTGTGTATAGGATTTGAGATTTAAAAAAAAGTTCTCTCATTTTCTCTTCAATTGACATTAACACGACAATTTCGTTCCATCTTGTTGTCGCTCACCACCACCATGTCGCCACAATTTCTGATCATATAAAGTTCAATCTCCTATCATTGTTATGCTTCTTCCTCCTCTCTCTCTCTCTCTCTCTCTCTCTCTCTCTCTCTCTCTCTCTCTCTCTCTCTCTCTCTCTCTAATAATTTAAAGCTTTCATTTTTAAAGCTTCCATTGTTGCTCATCTTCTTCTTTTTTTCTTTTGTTTAACAATGTATTGATAGAAAATGGAATCTTTGTGCTTTAACGAAAACTCTTTGCTCTAGACAAAATTTTGTGGCTTCCATCTGGCTTATTCTTCTTCTTCTTTATTGAGTTTCATCCATTTGCATGAATTTTTGTTAGATCAAATCTTTGTTCTAGGACATCGAAGGAAACACAATCAACAGTTGTTGGTGCTGCTCTCCCTCCCCTTTCTGTTAATAGATAAAAAAACTTAATGCTAATGGAAATAAGAAAGCTTCTTGTGTTTTTTCAGAATTTAACATTTTACCTGACGAACCTGAACCAATAGCCACATGTAAGTATTGTCACAAAATATATTGATGTCATCCTAAAACACATGGAACATCTAACATGCTAGCTCACTTGAAAGTGTGTCACAAGAACTCTACTCTTTTGTTCAAAGACCTAAAACAAATAAATCTTGTGTTACGCACCAGAACTAGAAATATGTGTAGTCATGAAAGTTGTGGTGGGGGAGAGCTTTTAGTGCAACTGAGTGGGGGTGTACCTAAAAGGTTAGCACTCTGACGCTCAAGTCAGTATGTGTATGATGAAAGAGTATTCAAATTATATTTGAAACTTCATACATGAAATGGCTGCACCCGCCTATATAGAGAAGTTGAATAACTAACTTGCTAACTTTTCGGGGTAGAATGCGAAGGAATGTTGGATGCGTTAGAGGAATCGATCCCATTCTTTCATATTACTGAAGGTACTATTGTTAGGAGAATGTTCCAGAGGCTTTAGCATTCACTTGAATTGGATAAGGGATGTTACGCCTGTAAGTGGTTGAACTACAAATGGTGATGATTAGATCGGATCAATCCGAGAGTTTTTCCTTATATTGGTCGCATCTCTGGGGAGGGTCTGAATCGTCAAGGATATGGTCGACCTATAAAAATTACCCCCAAGCCTTCACGGTTAAGGATTTGAGGCGAGGGTTTGAAGGATTACCATCGACTACTGGTCATACCTTGTTTGCTTCAAATACCATGTAATTTAAAATGCTTTTGGAATAATGATTATGATCTTCCTAGGGAATTGAAATACTCAAGTATTACGTGCAAAAGAAGAAATTGTTTGATAAGAAACCTTTCATTTTGTAAGCCTGATTCATAAATCTGGGAAAACTAGAGTCACTTCTTTATTCTAGGTTTTTTCTTCACTTTTGTTTCGGAATCGTTTTCTTCACTTTTGTTTCGGAATCGTTTGTCTCTTCTTCTCCTTTGAAGAATCACTTTCCTTTTCTTTTTCTTGACGTTGATATTATGATATGACGAAGAAACCTTGGAAAAAATGTGAAAAAGAATAAGGTGAACCCATTTTTTCCATGGGAAGGTTTCGTATTCTCGTCACCTATCTTTATCTCCACCAAAGAGGGGAACTTAGATGTGACCTTTTCTAATGTTGAGCTTACCATTTATAGTGATAAAGACATAATTTGCAATGAGTATGGCAATTGTAGCACCCCTCTATATGAATATCTCTTTTTGTTTTTGGGAGTCCATTTTCCTTTTACTGCTTTCGAAGTTGATGTTCTCAGCTATTTTATGGAGGTACTCGTGTGAGTATCTAAAGGGAAAACCATTCACTTTCATCTTTTTCACTGTGACTGCAACACTTCGGCCCAACCAAAAGGTCAAAATTTTGTTCTTTTGACGCTGACGATATGGATTTTTGAAGCTTTTCCTGAACCACCCTTTCATGGACCGATTCTTTTTTTTGTCACCCCCTTCACCCAAGGCTCGTGAAATTGTTTGTGCAGTTGAACCGAGAGTGGAAGGTAAATGTAAGTTAATGTTTTCCCATCTTTGATCGGTGAAACATTTTCTTTTGGAGAATGATTCATATATTTATAAATAAAGTGACTTTATCGTCGATGATTCCTTTTAAAATAAGAAGTTGTTAGAGTTGGTAAACCATTTGGGCTATATTGGTGGTTCAGTCCCTTCGCACGAGGCTGAGAATAAGCATTAGAAGTGTTCCATAGATGTTTCCTTGCTGATGGAGTCCCGTTTTCGTGAAGGTCGTCGGGGTTCCTTTGATGAGTTCGTAATTTTCTTTATTCTTCACTATTGTCTTTCTTTATCTATATTTGTCTTGGAATAACGATTGTATTTTCGTGCAAATGTGATGGAGGATAAAGTAAAGGTTTGGGTCTTAAAGCAGGGAATACAATCACCTAACATTGCTTCAAATCTTCTTTCTCTTCTGGGTTCACATGTGAACTCATACTCTCTCCCCCTCCATTCTTATGATCGTATGAATTCTCCCTTTGACGTTGATTAGGAATTTTTCGCTGGCCTTTCCGAACAGTCTTTATAGGATGAGTTGTATGCTTTGGCTCATTTTGCTAAGCGGACTTCTGTCGCTTTGTCCCTAGCTGGATCAGGATATTGGGAAACTCTTCGGTCCGAGAGGGTGCACGAGGAAAATGTTGAAGGTGAGAAAAACACAAGAAGGGGAATTAAATTATGTTGACTTTTTACTTTATTTTTAAACTCTTAAGTCATATTCTAAACACAAGGTTGTAGAATCTGATTTAGTTAGAGATAGGCAGCAAATACAAAATGCAAAAAAGAAGAATAATACACAGAGTTATCTTGGTTCCTCTCACAATTCGAGAGTAATCCAGTCCCATTGTACTTATAAGAGATTTTCACTATAATTACACAAAATTACAATTTGCTCAAGCACACAAGCAAAAGACTCGCTTTGCTCAAACACACAAGTAAAAGACTTTCTTGCTCAAGCACACAAGCCTGAGACTTCTTTGCTTAAACATACAAGTAGACACATCTTTGTTCTAACACACAAGCTAGACACTTCCGTGCTCAAACACACAAGTAAGAGACTTTTTTGATCTAACACACAAGCTAGAAACTTCCTTGCTCAAACACTTAGTAAGAAACTTCTAACAATCTACCTAGAAAATAAATGATTGATGAATGAATACACTTGATATACAATTAGAGGTGTTGATAATTGTAAAAAGAAAATGTTGGTTTGGTGGTTAGTTGGCGATTGAGAAGGGAAGGATTAAAGATTTTGAGATGTGATTCCATGGCTAAAGATGAAACCAAGAAAGATGATGTGTCTTCGAGTTTCAATTAAAGCAGGTTTCGAACCCTCACAATCTAAAATTCTTTTTGTAGTCAACTATAATGTTGACTTTAAGTGACGTGGTGTGTGACACGGTGTGTCACACTAGCTTATGTTAGAGGAAATAGAAGGCGAAGATCAAAATTGTGGACGGAAAATTTTAGGAGGACTATTATTCGAAGAAAATTTTTATAGGAACTAAGATTGAATGATGAGTTATTTATATCGATGAAAATTATATTTAACCATATTACCATT